CCTGCTATCATTTTTTGCCTGATTTCGTTATCATATACTATATCGTGTCCTTTTCTCTTTATTTTCATGCTGCCTTTTCCTTTTTTATCACGCAATTTACATCTCTCTTCTTTTTTCATCTGGTTTTCCTTATTTTTTTCTCCTTCGGTGCTTTTTAGTCTTTTTTTTGTTGTCTCGTTTACTATTTGATCACTCTTGTCTCTCGTTATTACTTCTTCTTGCCTCTTCTATTGCCTTGCTTTTCCTTTGTGTTACCTCCTTGTTTGCCTCTATTTGAATATTTTCTTCCTTTCTTATTTCCTAATAGTTGTTCCTTTTGCTTCTTATTAACGTTTCCTATATTTTCTTGTTTTACTTTATTTGTTCTCTCTCTCTTTCTCATGGAATTTTAGTCTTCTTTCTTTTTCCTATTCCATCTATTGCTTCTTCTTGTAGTCCTCCTTTCTCAGCTGTGTGTTATCTTTCGTTCTAGTTTTATTTTTCCTTTTTTCCTATTCTTCGTACAGCTTCTCTCTTCCTTCTGTCTTTTTCGTTCCCGTCATCGTGTCTTGTTTATTTTTCCTGCTCTTTTCCTTCTGTGCCTCTACTGATTACTTTGTTTTCTCGCTAGTCCTTTTAATCTTTTTCCTTTCCGTTCCGCATCTTTCCTCTCGCTATCTTTTTTTCTCGTTGCTGCGATTCGCCCTTCCAGGTCATTGTCACTTTTGCTGTTTTTATTCTCCTCTTGTTTTTTCCCACTTCCCGTTTCTTTCCCTTTCCAGCTACCTTTTCTTTTTGTCTTTTCTTGCCTTGTACTTGGTTACTATAGGTTGTTTTCGTTATCTCGTCTTCTTTTTGTTGTTTTCTACCAGTTGTCATTTCTCTTCTCTTTTTGTTTGCCTTCTGTTCTAGACTCTTTCTTGCTCATTGTTACTGTTTACTGTTCTATTTTCTTCCTAGTTTTTTTCTTTTCCTTTCTCTGTTCCTTTCTTGTTTGTTATTCCTTTTGCTATGTCTTTTTTCTTCTCGTTTGCTCAATTCTGTTGTTCTCTTTTATGTTCTTCCTTGTCTTTATCATCTATCGTTTCGCATCATTTTTTCATTTCTCTTTCGTGTTTATTTCTTTCCTTTTTCTTGTTCTTTCTTCTTCTTCTCCTTTCTATTTTTCTTCCCTTTGCTTTGTCTTCTTTTTTGTTTCCTGATCTCCTATCAATATTTTTTACCGTTGTCTTCCTTGCTTCTGTTTCCTGTTCCCAGCTTACTTTTTGATCTCATTCTCGCTTCTTTGCTAGTGTCGTCTCACTGTCCCCTTTATTCTTTTCTTCTATCTTGATTATGTATTCCCTGTTCTTTGCCTGTTGTCACCATTGTCCCTCTCCCTTCTTATACGTTTTCTCTTCCTGCTCTTGGCAATACTACACTCTCCCTATTTCGCTTCTCAGTTTGTCTTTTGCATATTGCCTCTTTTGCTTTCTCGTTATGTATAACTCCTTGCTCTTTCTTTCGCTCTTATTCTTCCTTCGCTTTTTGCCGTATCCTATTCCGTTCCCTTTTTAGTTCTTCTTTCTTTTTATGCGCTTCTTCCTGTCTTCTACGCTTCTTAATTGCCTATTTTTTACTTCGCCTATTTTTCTCCCCTTGCGCGGTTCCTTCCTCTCCTATTTCTTCTGCTCTGTTTGCTCCAGATTGCTTTTGCTCGTCCTCATTGCTGACTTCTTTCTCTCTTATTCTGATGAAGACTCCCTTCTTCCTCGCTTATTCATCTATCTCTTTCTCGCCTTTTTTCGACTCTCTTTTCTCTTGCGCTTGTTTCCATTCCTATACCTTATCCTGTTTTCTTAATGTTGCTTCCTCTTGCCTCTCACTCAAATCGCTCTTTTCCTTCTCCATCTTGTTGGTTCCTTCTCTTCTCTCTCCCTGAGCTTCTTGTTGTCATTCGACAACTTTGCACTTTCCTTTGCTCCGTCTTCTTCTCAATCTTACTCACTCCTTTCTGCAGCTCGTTCATGGCTCTCCCTTGCACTTCCCTCTCGACTCCTTCCTATCTCCTTGGTTCCTCTCGTGTTGTTCTTGCTTTTCCATTTTCTCGTGTCCCTGCTTTCTTTTCCTCTCCCCTCGTTATGCTTGCTTCTGTCCTTTTTCCTCACCCTATATCTTCCTCATTGTTTTTGCCTCTCGGCTCTTCTCGTTTCCCTGCTGCTTTTTGTCTATTATCTTTTCTCCTCTCTCCTCCCCTTCTGTTGTTGTCTCTTCTTTTGTATCTCTTGATACTTGCTTATTTCATAATGTTGGTATCACTCATGTTTCTCTTATTTATTCCTTATTTTTTTCTCTTTATTGTATCTACTATTTTTATCCTTCCTTTCTTCTTGTCTCGTTTTCCTGCTCTTGCCTCTTTCTTCATCTATTTCTTATGCTGTAGTTTTGCTACTCTTAACCTTTCTGTAGTTTGTTGCTTTTTCTTGTTGTATCTAGTCTCTCTTCTGTTTTTGTATTGTGCTATTCTGTCCCTTTTTTTTTCTGTATTTCTTTTTTTCTCTATTTCATTAGCCTGATAATCGTTCTTGTTCTCTAGTCCTTTCTGTCTATCTTTCTTTCGTATTTTTTCTTCCGACTTTTCTCGCGGCTTTCATTG